TAAGAAAGGGCCAAAACTGAAAAGATCCCCTAAAGCATCTCAATCTAAAGGGGCGGCGTGTTGAGTCATCACGGGAGCGTTTGTGAAGGAGAAACTGAGACCTCTCCCTGGCCCGTCTGCTCGGCCAGCTGAGAATAAAGGCATACAAAGCAATAGACAAGAAATGACGGCACTTCTTTGTAGGTTCCTCTAATCTACTTATTTCAGTTTTATTTGTTTGTTTCTAAAAACAAATGGCTTCAGAGAGAGACAATTTTCTGGCGTAAAACTGTCATAGGAAAGAAGCTGTCACTAGAAATCTATTGGTATTCTCTTCTGGGTAGGACCAGTTTCGATCGTGACTTTCATCAAGGATTTTTTCCCCCAAGGGCAGCAGGACTATTAAGTAAAGTGTTATTTTCTCATTTAATAGTTTCTCTCTTAACAAAAACCACATTTTTCAGTTCTACTGTAGCATTCAGAAATTCGATGCTGTCTTTACTGAAATTATAGCCAAATTCTCAACTGTAGTCATGGATGATATTTTACAAAATAAAATCTATGGAAGATCCCACATTTGTTCTCCTGGGTTGGGTTCCTTTCCCCTCGATTTGACCAAAGGGGCCACGCTTCTTTCCGCTTGGTTACATGTGAGCGTGGATTTTCAGTAGGGCAGGAAAATAATTTAGTCTCTGTGATGACTTTCACCACAATCAGGTTGGTAAACAGCATGAATAGGAAATAGCTCAGTCCACCTGCCCTGGAGGATCCTAAATACAGACCCACGAGTCTCTGTAGCTCCACCAGCAGAAATGCTAGGTTTCTTCAACTTAGGGCTTTTCGGAATTACACCCACCTTGGCTCTGCATCAGGAGATAAAGCCACGTCTCTTTATAATGAGAATTTTGATTTACGATGCATTATCTTCCTCCTACCCCCCCAAAGCCTTGCACAGACTGTGGACATGTTTATTCCAGAAGGGTTTGTTAGCTGTTAAAATAAAGACCAGCCTGTAGGCCCTGAAACAAATAGACATACAACACAAAACCCACAGGAAAGGGAGGCAACAGGAGGCCAATACAGTAAATGTATCATCTTGCCACTTTAACCTTTAACTCCTTAAAAAAAAGACTTTCTGAGGAATTCATATGGAAAGGGGGTGGGGTATAAAGGGTGTTTGCTATAAACAGATTCTAGTGTTCCTTATTAATTCAGGGTGGGTCTGTTAGAAAACAAGGGTTACTGGACATGAACTCTGTGGGCCAAATGTTTTTGTAGTTTACTGATTCAGAACTGTAGTAGGACCCTGACACTCTATGGCTGTTTTTTACACGAATTCTAAGTACCATAAATTGAATTGTATTTCCCAATACACAAGCGCTGCAAACAGACCTGATCCCAGCTGGCCTCCAGGGCAGCTGCTATACATAATAGTCCTCCAAATGGGTCCCAGACCACTTCTTTCTACCTGCACAAGGATGCCAAAGAAATGGCAACCCTGGTAACCTGTGAGGAGGGCTCCCTGTGAGGATGCATGCAGGAGGCAACCAATTGGTGTGTCTCTCTCACATCGATGTTTCTCTCTCTCTCTCTCTCTGTCCCTCTCTCCTTCCCTTCCACTCTCTCTAAAAAACTAATGGAATAATATCCCCTGGGAAGGATTAACAACAACAACAAAACGCCATTCTGAGGATACTCATGGTAGGCCAGCCAGGGAGCCTGGCATAAATGAGATCCAGCACAAGCTAATGGAAAACTGAGCCCAAGCAGGTGGGACTAAGTAAGGGACATGGAATCTGGGAGTCAAGCAGCAGAGCCAGTCTGGGCTGAGTATCGAGAGACAAGTCCCCAGGGGACCAGCAAAAGCAAGACAGGCCAGGGAGTCAGATCTGGATTACTTAGTAATTACGAACACAAGGACTGCGGTGTAGACTGCAAAGCGGGGAGCCTGTCCCCGGAAGCGGTGCACGGGACCTGGGTGAGCCCGGCACAGGGCGGGCTTTGCCTGCTGTGCGAGGCCTGGGGAGCTGCGCAGTGCTCTGGCGAGGGCTCCTCCTGGGCCAGGCTCTGCACGCCGGGGGGAGAAGGCTGGAAGCAGACGCCAGGACCCAGCGGGAGAGGACAGCAAGGGCACATTCTCCGGGATGTGCAGGCGCCTTCGGAGAATTCCCCACATTCTCTTTATTTACCCCCACACCACACTTCCTTAAATATATCTACGTTGTTGGTTGTCTTCTAAGTTGTATATTTATTGCCTTTCGAAGATGAAGGTGTGCTGCAGAGTATGCAGTGTCACTACCGAGAACAAAGCCGCGTTCCTTTCTCAGCTGTACCTTAAATCAGATTAGCGCCGTGATTTTCTGCCTCTTACAGCAGATTTCCCCAGCAGCAGAATTGCTGCTGCTCCTTAAAGGGCCTGTAATCCTGTAGGTCTGTCCAGGAGACCTGTCAGCTTGGGGTAATAAAAATGCCCTGGAATTAGGTAGCAGCGGCTGTTGTACAACGCCTGGTGAGCTGTGCCCTTTGAAAGAGCGAGTTTTATGGTATATGAATTATATCTTGAATTTTAAAAAAGACATGTCCAGGTGTAAAGCCACAGTAAGCTTAGGAGGCAGAAATGGATTCTCAGGACTCATCTGTGAAAATCTGGTTAACGGCTAGGACCTCTGGTCACCTCAACCGGCGACTTCCCCATTTTTGCCGGGAGGTGAAAGCCTGGGTTAGACGGAGGATGGGCTGAATGAATCACAGCCACACTCCTAAGCGTGTAAAGAGTTTGTCTACATGCTCAGCAGGAACCAGGATCCGGAGCCCAGGGCACAGCCAGTGGCACCTGTGTTCCTAAGCACCTGCTTCAGGGGCAGCCCTGTACCAAATTCCCCTCAAAAGAACCCTGCTGCGTATGTGACACAAAGTGTGCGATTATCTTACGGAGATTTGCAGCTCTCTTGTGGGTTAGAAGCAACTGATAGCCTTCATCTGAAACACAGCCCGACCTCATGGTTGTCTCACTTGCCTGTCATCAGCGTTGCAGCAGGGTTCACAGGCATCCTATTTGACACATGTGCACCGACCTCCTTCAGCTCCGCCACTGTGCCTCTGGTCACCTCCCTTCCATGTGCGCACCTGACTGCGAGACACAGAGGGGGCGCAGCAGCCTGCAGAGAAACGTGTTCCTACAAAAACAGAAAGAGAGACCAGAAGGGAGCGGTGCCGTGATTTCTGTTACGCTCATCATTCTTCCTACTTTCCACTGGGCTCACGGGGCTGCCCTTGAGCCCCGGTCATGCGGTGAATGCGTGGGGAGCCCCCAATTCCCGTTATCCAGCATCCAGGGGAGTGTTAGCTGGGTCAAGGAAGCAAGTCCAGATACAGCCTTTAGGGTACACCTGGCTCCAGGAACACATTGGACTTTCTCAGCAACCTCAAAGGAACTGTCCTGGACCCCCTGTCCCTCCTCTAAGCCCTTGCAGGGCCAGAGTGAGGTCAGAGGTCCACATTGGCTGCATCCCCTACCCCCACTCAGCTAGCCTGGGGTTTTCTGGGCATGGTGCTCTTTTTATGACACTTCCTTCCCTAACTGAGGTATTTTGAGGACGTGTGGCTTCTTCTAGGCTGTTATTTCTACACCTTCCATCCACGTGCAGAGGAAGCCCTCTATCACTGTGCCCATCTCCCCCAGCCCTGCTGATGGTCTCCGTGGCCACCCCCACCCCACACTCCATTTCAGACCTCAGTGCCCCTGTCTGAACGGTTCATGCTGTCTTAAAGAAGTCTTCCTTGCCTCTGTCCCTACCTCCACCTGCCAGTTCCCTTTTCATCTGGCCAATTACTATTCATCCTGTGGGACTGAGCTCACTCGTCATGTCCCTTAGGACACCAGCCCCAGCCTTCTTCAGTGAGGTAGGGCCCATCGGCCCCCACCATAGCACACCCGGGTGTGTGAGGTCCCGGAGGGCAGGGCCCCCAGGACCCCTTGGGGAACCTGGCCCTTGGCATGGCATGATTTGGTGTCCGTTCAGCTAAACCGGGCTATTTCGTTTCACTGTCAATTTTTACATGACTGCCTGTCAACAAGTGGTTTTTTCTTACACTGAGAAAGCTGATGAGGAAAAGAGCTTCTGCCACATGCTGATAAGAATCTTCGAGTGAATGGAAGGGACTTCGCTTTTTGGTGTGTTTTACTGACATGGGCAGATCTGGAAACGAGCGTTTGTATTAGAATCATATGGAAAGGAAACAGGGACTCAAAAAGCTTAAGCAGTTTGCCCGAGGTCCCTCAGCCAGCAGGCGGTCATGACTCCTTGCCCGCGCGGTTCCTAACTCCGCTTGCTGTCCCCCTTTTAAAAATTCTCTGCGTGTTTAAAATTTTAAAAGGTAAGCAGTGTTAAACATCGTTTAGAAATCGGAGATAGCCTGTAAGACCAAATTTGAGATCCCCTGGTATAATATCCAGGGGTGCACAAAAGCGGGTTTACAGTTGTGAGCATGTGAAACAGTTTATTCGTGTATTATTTATTAATTAATTATTTTAGTATTTTCCACATGAACAGCTGCAAGCCTACCTTTGCCCACCTGTACATGCTAAGGGGCCTCAGCGTGTTCCCCTACAGTTTATGACCAACACTGACTGGGCTTGTCATCCACCGCGTGACCCGCAGGAGTGGGACCAATGTTATATNTTGTGTTCCCCTACAGCTTATGACCAATGCTGACTGGGCTTTGTCATCCACCGTGTGACCCGCAGGAGTGGGACCAATGTTATATGTAGCTGTCTACATCAGTTTTCAAACTTTTGCATCCAATTCGTAATCTTTCCTTTCAGTCCTCTTATTGCCATGAGCATAACCCAAATATTTTAAAATATTTAAGTGGATTTTCATGCCAGCATCAGCTGGTTGTATATTTTTAGGGGGAAATGGGCTAGAGTAGGAAAGTGACATTTTGGGGGGGGGACCCTAATATTACATAGAGCAGTTTTAGGAGTGTTTATGGTGTTTTCTTATGTTTTACCAAAATGTAATTGGATGATTAAAAAAAATTTCTTTTTAATTCAGAAAGAACTTGTGCATAATCTCTGCCTGATGTCAATTTTTTTTCAGGTGACTTTTCAGATTACCCCTCCGTGTGCCAGCGAGAGGCACTATGAGCGCTTTGGACGGTGCTGTAACAAGTGTAAACCAGGTCTGTACTTCTGAGCCACCTTTCATTGTCCCTCAAAAGTGGGAGGGGCTTGTGTTAGTTTTTTTTAAAATCTGAGGAATGATTTCTATCTGCCAGATGAAAAAAGAAATGGGATGGACTTTTTATGGTCATGGCAGGTGGTAACGTCTGTCGCTCTGAAGATAAAAACCTTTCTCTCAGAAGGTAAAATCACTTGAGAATCAAAAGCAAGTTCAGAAACTGGTATTTAATTGGTGCTGGAACGCTGTTTTCCCAAAATGCGATTCCTTGAGGAGGAGGAAGGCTTTTAAAAGCATGTTTTAGCACTTTGGGATTCAAACTGTCAAAATATGAAATTCAACTCTTGTTGAAAGTATTGTCACAGAAAAAAATTGGGGGGGGCAGGGATAACCATACCGGAATTGTTGCTGCTGAAATTGCCTAAACCCTGTTGTACCTTCTCCCCACATACATACCTGCTGAGGGGCAGAAGGTGGGCTGGTGATGACAACGTCCCCAAAATTGTTCTGCCGGATTGTGACCATGCATTTCTACAGCCCCAGTGAACTCCTGAGTCAACGGGGTCCTCGTTAGCTCATTGTTCTGGGGAGGGGAGCATATCTTTGAGGAATAGGTGGTTACCTTATAGCAAGACCCTGTAGATATTTCAGCTACAAATATTTCTTGGATGTGCAGAACCAAGATCCATTGTGTGTGTGCGTGTGTGTGTGTGTGTGTGTGTGTGTCTGATCAAACTAAGTTAGTTAACCATGAGCTCACGGTATGTGTAGGACAGAAGGTATCTATCCAGACTGACGGTAGGGGGAATTTTGAAGATGGGAGGGGAGAGGTGAAAGGATGCCTCTCTTGCTTAGCCCCCAGGGAACCCCTCAAGTTCTGCAGGCGCCAGTTTGAAAACCATTGTTCTTTACCGTACTCAGCAGGGGTTTGGCGGAAAGGGTGATCTTTCCCATGGAAGAACTAAAAGACTGCTGTGACCACAGGCCCAGCAGCCCCAGAATGGCCGTTTCAGCCAGCTGGGAGGCCTGAGGAGCCCATCACTGTGAGATGTGGCCCTGTCTCCTGTATCACACTGTCTCTGGGGGACTTCCCAGGGTCATGGTCATATAAATGGTCCAGTAGATGGGTGCATTTTTGTTGTTTTGTTTTTTGGGTACTTTTGATTAGCGCATTTTCCCCCTTCTGATTTAAGGAACGTATATGTCTTCCAAATGCACTACTACCTCGGAAAGTGTCTGTGTGCCCTGCGGCCAGGATGAATACCTGGACACCTGGAATGAAGAAGATAAATGCCTGCTGCATAAAGTCTGCGATACAGGTGAGCCGGTCAAGTCAGTGGCAGTGCGGATAAACGATGTTTTTAGATACAGCAGGGCTGAGCCTTTGGGGGGCAGAGGAAGAAGTTTTGACCACAGACCACAGAAAGATGCGCTTCAGATCCCAGAAGCAACTCTTCACTGAGAACTTTTGTTCTGGACTGTGTTTGTGTTGCAGTTTAATCATGGAACACCTCTTAGAGTTGACAAAGTACGTCCCCAGTGTTTCCATGTACATTGTGCTATTTAATCCTCACAAAAACCCTGTGAGGTAGTCGCAACGAACCCATTTTAAAGATGAAGAGAACTGAGACTGACAGAGGTTGAATGACTTCTCCAGAGTTATCCAGTGAGAAGCAGGGCTCCAGATCAGATCTTCTGACTCTCAAGTCTTTTCTCCAAACGATAAATGTTCTATTGACTCTGCAGTTTGATCTCCTTATCAGTCTGCTATAGTTTTTTTTGCCTCGAATTTTTTAAAACTGTAGTTTATTTGCAGGAATCAGCATCAAAATATGACTCTTAAATCTCAACCTAGCGGTTACTTTCCTTCTTTTTCCTTTGTCCATTCAGTTTATCTGGGGGAGAAACCCTGTCGTCGGTCCTGTGGGGTTTCCACAGTCTGATTTCTGCTGGTTGCACTCCCTTGGTGCCATTTAAAACTATTCTTCTACCTCCTACATTTCTTGTAAAGTGGTTGTGAGATCTAGAAGGCTGCTCAGATTCTGGTTTGTTTTTTGTTTTGTTTTTGGCAAAACTCCTTCGTAGTTGGTAAAATGTAGTTATGTCAGGAACCATGTAACAGCTGCTTTTCTCTCTTTTTGTGATATTAGCAGCTGTTGATGATCATGGCCCAGGTTCGTTTTCATTCGGCGACTTTCCAGTTCTATCATGCCTTCTTCATTTCTTAGCTGGAATGCTTTATAAAGGGAAACTTCCCTCAGCAGCGAGTTGTTGCCCTGAGGGTCATCACATACAGGAAAGGCAGGGTGAATGCTTCCAACTTTGTTTACCACTTTTCAAAATACTGACTTGATCAGCAAGCTTTCTCCAAAGGCTTTGTATGAATATTATGACTTTGTGAATTTAGACATATTTGAGGTGTTTTTGTCTATTGCAGTTACTAGTTTTCCTGGTGCTCATATTGTCCCACCTCCTCCAGGTGGCCCTCATCTTTGATACAACCCCAGGTGTCTTTTTAAGAGCTCCCTTCTTCCTGGCTCATCTAGGACATTTCCTGCCCTGCACTTGGAACCAGCCATTTCTCCAAGGATTCCTGATCACTTTCAGCAAAACATCATATTTAGCGACCTCACTCTGGGTGCTAGGGAGGCTCATTGCTTCTGGATTCTTATCTGCAGGGTTTTTGTTTGTTTGTTTAAATATATCTTTATTGATTTCAGAGAGAGGAAGGGAGAGGGAGAGAGAGAGACAGAAACATCAATGATGAGAGAGTCACTGATCAGCTGCCTCCTGCATGCCCCCGACTGGGGATCGAGCCTGCAGCCCGAGCATGTGCCCTGACCGGGAATCAAACCTTGATCACCTGGATCCTAGGTTGGTGCTCAACCGCTGAGCCATGCCGGCCAGGCCTTTTTTATAGGCTTTTCTTTTTCCCAGTGGAAAGAGCAAGGAAATAAGTATTTTTTAAAACCATAATTCTTCTAATGTGTTAGAGACAGCTGGCAGATTTTGTTTGGAGAAGATAACATGGAAACTCCACTGAGGAGAAGCATCTGATCAAGTCTTTTTTCTTTCCCACTGCTTAGTAATGACCTTGACTCATTGCTGTCTCTTGGAAATAAAGAATCATTCTGTCTACTGCCAAAATTGATTAAAGCGAAAAGCCCTGGTTAATTAAGATAGTCAAGAATATGTCAGGCTTACATGCACTTGCATTTGCATGAGATGCTGGAATTAGGATTTTTCAAGGAAACGACAATGTCAGTGTGTGTTCCAGGCATCCTGCGCCGCGTGTTTAGACACACTGGCCTTGGTGCTGCTGAGCTGGCCGGGGCCTCAGAGAGTGGGCACAGAAGGAAATGGAGATTTCTCCAGCTTCACCATGCTTGGGCCCAAAAGGTAGGGGGGTCAGAAGTATCCCTCCCTGCTGGCTGCCACTTGAGACAGTGAAGGAGGGAACAGGTTTCTGGTTTGTTTCTTTTCCCCTTGGAACTGTGTTCCAGTCCATTCAGGCTGCTGTAACAGAAATCCACAGACCGAGTGGCTTAAACAAAAATTTACATCTTACTGTTCTGGATGCTGAAGTCTGCGGTCAGGGTGCCAGCATGGCTGGGTTCTTGGTGAGGGGGTAAAAGGTCTGTTTTAAATAATGTCATTGTGCTCCGTCGCGTGTGTGTGTGCAATCGATTCTCATTGTTCAGCAACCACTGAACCTCTGTTCCTTCAGCCTCTGGTTACAGCGTTTTTGTCAACCGATCAACGCATTACCTTGTTTTATATGAGTTTCTGTTTAAGGACACTTTATTTAGTAAATACTGTGGTTTATTAACATTGGTCTCACAACCAAGAGTGCTGTAATTCTTGCCTGAACCAAGTTTTTCTAACACGTATTTCCTCCATGAGACACATCACAGCCTCCTTGGGCTTAGAAGCACTGGACGGCGCCCAAGCACTGCGCTTGGAGGACATTTTAAACCGTAGAATCACCCACCAAAAGCACAAAAATGACAAAAGGTAGAGCACTAAACAGGCCACAAAAAGGACACTTGTTTCCAGTGTGAGAGCTGAAACAATTAGGCAGAACGGGTCACCTTGTTCACCCTCACCTGGGAACGTGCATGGTCAGCGAGTGGCTGAAAATGTTTGCCTTTCTCCAGAAGTGCCAGGGGTGTTGGTTCGGGGGCTACGATGACATTTTCAAGAGTAGGTGAAACTGCAGATACAAATCACTGGCTATTGCGGGTGAACTGTGTGAGCATTTGCCTCTGTAGCACAAAAACCGGCAAGGGCCAGGAGATTGGGGTAACAGGAGAGCGCTTTGCTGCGCTTTGTGAGAAAAGATAGACGTGTTATCCTGAGTAAGTGGGAGAGATGAATTTCTAAGTATGTCTTCAGGCCCAACCTCTGTACTCGTCCACTTAGCTAATTACACAGTGACCCCCCCACCCCCAGTCTTCCGACTCTGAATAATTGTGGCCCTGTAGGATGTCAGGAGGATCCCCGATCTCCAGAAACGCCATCTAGCATCCGTGTTGAGGCTATTTATCACATCTGAATTTACTAAAAATTGGGAAAACTATGAGGTCTATTTTGTATTAGCCAAAGTAATCAGTGATCATGAACTCCCCAGTCCGTGATCTTCCTAACATGAAAATTGACTTTTAAAAAGCCACACGACTCTTCATTATTGAGAGAGAAAAAAAAAAACCCCACCGGGGTGTTTTAGTGCCGGCACAGGAAGCTGAGAGGGGACTTGGGCGTCCCTGAAGGCCAGCGTCCTGAATGGGTCAGTGGCCTGGAGGAGGCCCGTGGGTCTGGTGTCAGCATGTGGCGGGAGGCGGGAGGTGTGTCGTCGGCCCCCCTCCCCGTGTGTCCCCCCGCGGCCTCGCTGCCCTGCCTCTCTCCCCGCAGGCAAGGCCCTGGTGGCTTTGGAGCCCGGCAACCGGACGGCCCCGCGGCGCTGCGCCTGCACCACCGGCTACCACTGGAGCGAGGACTGTGACTGCTGCCGCCGCAACACCGAGTGCGCGCCCGGCCTGGGTGCCCAACGCCCGGGTACGGGGGTGCTTCCCACACTGGCCCGCTCTCGCCAAGCCGTTCAGCCCCACCGAGGCCCGAGCCCGCCCTGAGAAGGCTTCCCTGCGTCCTCCACGCCCCGGGGAGCCAGGCGGTGCGCAGGGAGCTTGGGGCGCCCCTGGGGACGGAGCCCAGGTTCGGTTCTAACAAGGACGCGTGAGCGCTTGGCCCACGAGCTTGTCTCCAGGCTCCTCCATCTGCGAAGCCTTAGCCCCCCCCTTAGGAGGGAACCCAATAATGCAGGGCTCCTCCAGTTTTAAAACACAGAAAACAAAACATTCGTGCACCCCCCTTAGCCGAATTTTGCAAAAACCGTGCACCTCCTAGCCTATTTTTAAGCGGACAGCTCAAATTTTTTTATTACGAATTTGAAGAGTTACTAAGGCCTTAGTTTCCAAGACATGATAACGATAGTAACATTCTAAAATATTCAGTGTCATGTTAACACCATAGCGATTTGATACCCAGCATCTGGGTAAAAGCGCACTGGTCGCCTTAACTGCGGGACATGTTACAGTTCTTTTACCTCTTTTGATTTGTGTTCAGTTCACCTTCCCCGCAGAATTTTATCATAATGTATTTTTGTGCTTGGAAGATTTTTACTGATCACCTTTCATACTTTTTCCTATAAAAAAATAGGCACCTACTTGAAATCTTAATTTTAAAAAATGTTCTGTTGAGTCAAAGTTCTAAGGGTTAAAAGCACTTCTTCTGGACTAAATTGTCTGCAGTTATTAACAATAGTCAAAAATGAATATATTCTATTTTGCTATATTATCATTCAAAAAATAAAGGCTTTATGCTCTTCATAATGAATGGAGTTTTTCCAATTGCTTCATATCTTCATGGTTGAAAAGAACTTATTGCTAAAATGCAACAGAATTCAACATTGTTCCTATTTCCACTAAGTGCTGAGAAACTCGTTCACATAAATAACTAAATGGCTAAGGAAGGACCTCCGTGACGGGAATGTCTCTCAATTCTGTTGGGACCTCCTGAGTGGCATGTCTGGGAGCACAGTGATGCGACATCAAACGTGTGTTTAATGATTGCTCAGTTAAAAACTCAACTGTGTCCTGCAGTTTTGTTGGAAGTGAAGAAACAGAAATCTTTTTGACTCGGAAAAGTGTTTCTTAGCGGCAGTTATGTCCTGACTTCTAGGAAGTATGCCAAAACTTATTCTTCAAGACAACAAATTATTTATACCTGTTCACCTTTCCCTTAAAGGCATTCTGTTTTAACCCAGAATACTTGGACAGGGTTAAGGAGAATTAAAATATTATTCATTTCAGTTCATATTGAGGAAAATGTCCATCACAGAATCAATCCTGATTATCAAATGTATCAACTGAACCAGACAAGCTTTCTCTTAGCAAAAGTCTGGCTTGATTTTTTAAAAATAATTTTTAAAATTTTTCGGTTACAGTTGACATACAGTATTACATTAGTTTCAGGTGTACAATAGCAATCAGACATTTATATAACTTACAAAGTGATCATCCTGACATTGACTTTATTTTTCAGTTTTTAAAATTAATCTCCCTGTGACAGCCGGCTCCCTTCTGAGTTCTGATTCTCAGATAGACAAGGCCCAGGGCCTATCCGCCAGCTTGTCACCTGCATGAAAAAGGCACTGTCACCTTTTCTGCTTTTTTTCTGATCGATGTCCTGTCTGCCTTGCTCCTTTGGGAATGGCTTATTCTTTGGCAATAGGTGGAGGGGAGAGGGGATGGCATGGGTGAATGAAATTCCACCCTTGCCCTACCTTGCACTGTACAGTTGACCCTTGAACAATATGGGTTTGAACTACGCAGGTCCACTTATATGTGGATTTTTAAAAACGTACGGTGTTGATAAATACATTACAGTATTTTCTCTTACGATTTTCTTCAGAACATTTTATTTTCTCCAGCTTATTTTATTGTAAGATACAGTATATCATACATATAACCTACAAAATATGTGTTAATTGTTTATGGAATCAATCATGCTTCTAGTCAACAGCAGGCTATTAGTAGTTAAGTTTGGGGGGAGTCAAAAGTTATATATGGGTTTTTGACTGCACAGGGGGATTGAAAACCCTAAACTCCACATGGTTCAAGGGCCACCTGTATTTGAATTCAGAACAACTCAGCCTGGTCCCAGTTACACTATTTCTGTTGTCACACTTTGGCCATGAATAGATAGGGAGAGACGGACGCTGTACTGAGATGCTCTGAATGCAGGAGCTCTGCCATCACCAATATTTTTTTTTTTTAAATTTATCTTTATTGTTGAAAGTATTACAGATGTCCCCTTATTCCCCCATTGACCCCTTCTACCCCACCCCAGGCCTTCGCCACACTATTGTCTGTGTCCATGGGCCAATATTTCCACTTTTTGCTTTGCTTAGCGTCTCAGAGGTTTGGCACCATAGCCATATTTGGAGTGGGAGAAGTGTGATTAAGAAAGGAAAAGGGGACAGAGAGCCTGCAGGGTGCCCCTGGCAGGTCAGTTACAAACAGCAGATAGGGGAGCCCAGTGTAGGGAAATCAATGAGCTTTAAGCTTTATTGCCTTGTAGCTCCTTAAGAAGTCTCTTTGTTTTTAAGGGTTACTCTTCTAGAGTGTATTTATCTTTTTCAAGGCTGTTAGAATTTATGTGAGCTGACTAGATGTTAACTGGGCTTTTGTTAATATCACTTTAAGGCAAATCAAATAGACTAAAGGAGGGGTACCCTGCTTATGGAGGCAGTTGCAGAAATCAAGAAGATACTTCCCATTGACTCTGGACAAAAAACATGTAATTCCTTATGTTAGTGTTTATTCATGAAAGTAAATCACAGAAGTGCTACTAATTTCAAGAGTAATCTGTGGTTTTGGTGCAAGTCAATTGCCTGATCCTGATATCGCATGGAACCGATGTTCTTCTTTATTGGAATTCCCAAAGGGTCAGCTCGTGTCAGTAGCAGTAAAGGCAATAAACATAGGAAATCCGAGACATTTCCTATTTCAATAATATAGTTTTACGAGGAATTTGAGAGCGTTGAAGACAAGCTTACTAAGCAGGATCAATTCCTGCTTTCAGTGCTGTGGCTTAAGGCAGGGGTCCAAAATCCATCCCACCACTTGTGTTTGTGTAAATAGTCTTATTGGAACACAGCCGCATACAGGGACTGCTTTCATGCTAAAAGTATTTGCAGCAGAGACCAGAAGGCCTGCAAAGGATATTTACCATATGGCCCTTTATAGAAAAAGTTTGCTACCTACCCTTGGTTTAAGAGAAAGAGACCTGTAGGGGTTTTTGTTTGTTTGTTTTTTTAAGAAACCTGTTGTCAGTCCCATACTTGGACTGGTGAGATTAAGCTGATCAGAGAGGTCAGGTCAGGAAGTTGTTCTTAAAAGCAGTAAAAGCACTGCCATTCTCTCTAGATCAAGGTTGGTGTAAGCCCAAAAGACTAAAAAGGAAGATCAGACAGGCGCTTGGTTAAAGCAAGTCAGACAGCAGGCTCCCTGGCTAGGAAACAGAGTATTGGTGACCAGGACAGTGGCTCTGAATAGCAAAGGGTCAGGACCTAACTCAGATACCGGCATTAGTGGCCTGACACTGAGCCAGCTATCTTCCTGCACATAATAACCCTGAACCTCCTGCTGGGATCGAGGGCCCTCTCGAGCCTGTGGGGGCTGAAGCAATGAGCCAAGGCCGGCGGGGGCGGGAAGGATGGGGTGGTGAGAGGCAGGGGGTCAGCTCCTGCTATCTGTCTCTCCTCTGGACCACCATCCTGGCCGATCTCTAAGTGTCCTTGCTTGGTTTTTGTTTGTTCTGTTTGTCCGTTTGTTTTTTGACAGTGCAGCTCAACAAAGACACGGTGTGCGAGCCCTGCCTTGTCGGCTATTTCTCCGACGCCTTTTCTTCTACAGAAAGATGCAAACCCTGGACCAAGTAAGTGACAACGAAGGAGCCCGGAGAATTTGTTGATTTTAAAACACTCATCCTCCGTGGTCTCACCTGGGTTGGAAACAGACTGATTGCGTTTGGTGAGGCTCCCTCTCGAAGCCGTGTTCAAAATGGAAAAAGGGTGGGCAGAATAAACCCGTCCAACCAACCTTCAACCCAATGTGACAGACACTGTTTTACTTTTTAGATTCAGTTTGACTCAATCTTTGACCTAGAGTTGCAGCTTCTTTTGTCCCTTTTCTAACCTTATTTAGTTGAAAATGATTGATGACACTTGTTAGCATTCATTCATCACCCCCACTTTGCCCAGCTTCCCAATACCGCCAGTTTACTGTCTAGAGATGTGTGTGTGCATAAAGAAGCCTCCTGTTTACATAAACATTTGCATACTGTAAACACTTTATAGTTTTTTTCACATTATGTATCTCGAAGGAAATTCATTCCATATTAGTTCACTTAGATTTTCATGGCTTTTTATAGGTATGTAATATTTCATTGTAGAGATGTGCTGTAATTGAGTTAGTAAGTTTCCTATTGATAGACATTTAGGTTGTTTCCAGTCTTATTCAGTAATTAATCATTTTGAATGAATCATCTCATATGTACCATTTCATACTTATGTTAGTGTATCTATAGTGGAATCTCGGTCCTTTCATTGCATGCTGCTTGTTAAATATAAATAATCAATATAATGATTCTTTCAGTTCATAGTATATCAATTCTCATTAAATATTTATTTTCTGAACTGCTTACCTAAGTTTTATGTTGAAAAGGTTTTGTGTTTTTAACTTCAAAAGAGCATTCATCAGAAGTTTATCACTTGGCAATTGAAGCATTTGGAACCTTCTGTACTGTAGACACCAACCTACTATCCTTCAGACCATACTCTCGGAATAGTTCTTACAGATTGCTTTTGTTCATTCATTTGTCCACCTGGATGATGTGTGGACAGGCACTGGGGACCCAAATGTCCAGGGAGACCTGGGTTCCTCTCCTGAAGGAGCTAGCAGTCTAGTAGAGCAGAGCCTTTTGTAGCTTTTCTTAAAAAACAAGAATATAGCCAGTGTGGATCAGTGGTTGAGCATCAACCCATGAACCATGAGGTCACCAGTTCGATTCCAGGTCGGGGGTCATGCCCTGCTTGCGGGCTTGATCCCCAGTAGGAGGCGTGCAGGAAGCAGCCGATCAATGTTTCTCTCTCATTGATGTTTCTATCTTTCTACCCCTCTCCCTTCCTGTCTCTCTAAAATCAATTTTTTAAAAAAGCATAGTAAAAAAAAAAAATGACAAGACTATAAAACTGAAGCACTTAACTCCCTTTGCCCCCACAGCTGTACCAGTCTTGGACAGACAGAAGCACTTCCTGGGACCAATAAATCAGACGTGGTCTGTAGTTCTTCTCTGCCATCTACAAAACTACCAAATGGTATGTTTATTTTTTTCCTTTTTATTGAATTTATTGAGGTGACACTGGTTAACAAAACTATACAGGTTTCAGGTGCACAATTCCACAACACGTCATCTGTACAGTGTATCATGTGTTCCCCACTTGTCCCCCATAAGCTCCCCACCCCCACCTCCACCCCTAAATGCTATGTTTAAATACAGCAGGTTGGTTGGTAGTTGTGGCCTGGTCTAGTCAGCTCCTAGATTTCCCCCAGATTACCTGCCATATCTGGAGGGCTCATCTCTCCTTGCCATCTTATCCCATCCCATCCATGGCCAGTTAAGTATTTCATTTTTGTCAGTATTTTAATTCCAGATATGCTGTTTACTTGATAATTTTTTACTCTGGAATGGATAACTAAAAATGAATTTATATATACAAAACAAAAAAAGAAAATTGAGCTACAAACATAAAATGCCCAAATATGGTAGGGTGTTGGTCACAGTATGAGTGTCTGTGGGAGATTTTGGTCACCAACCAGAGTCAGCAACTTGTTAGACTATAGCTATCATTATTTATGAAGCATTTTGTAGGTCAAATTAATCTTGAGTAGGGTGTCAAAGAGTGACAGAAAGTGACAGTTAATGGTGGCTGCTGCTTATCCAGGCGAGTGAGGTAGCCGGAGGTGGGTGCGGATATCGAAGCACATGAGATGGCAGACGTGTCAAGAAGACCTTTCGAATGAGGCAGAAAGACCTGGGGTGCAGAATAGCAGGATTAATGAACTTTGACTAAGAAAATTGGGGGTTTAGATTTGACATTTGGGGGGACAGGAGGACGTTAGACATTCTGGATATGGAGTTACACAGTCAGAGCAGCATTTTAAAAAGACCATTTTGAAGATGTTAAAAATAACCAGGGGAATGTTATTTTAAAAAAGAGAGAGGAGGAAAGGCAGAGTCCCGGAAACCAGGTCAGGTAAACCAAGAGTTTATAATATGGGGCGGGGCAAAAGTAGGTTTACAGTTGTGAGTGCACGAAACACTATTCTTGTATTCTTATTTATTAATTATTGTATTATTTTCATACGAACAGCTGTAGACCTACCTTTGCCCCACCCTGTAGAAAGGCTGCAGATGAACCCCCTGAACCCCCCCAGCATAGCTGTGGTTCTGCCTTGGGGCCAGCAAGCCCCGGTGCCATGTGGGTGTTTGGAAAAAGATAGGATAAGGGGCTTCTTTTTGCCTCGGAGGCTGGGCCCCTGGAGAGATCGAGGTGTCCTTAGGTAAGCAAAGGTGGAACTGGATGGCACTGTAAACGTGATTTGAGTTGTCCTGAGGTAGAAACACTTCCAGATGGCCTGGGCTGGCCTCCCTGCAGTGATGTCCCACAGGGGACTGGGCCGCGCTGGTGACTCCACCCTTCGGAGCGTGAGCCCTCTGTGACAAACCTGCAGGGTCCGGGCCTTCACACTTCTCTTATTCCAGGCCAGCAGCCTTGATTCTGGGGCTTGATTTAAAGGGTTTTGTTTCTAAGCTTAGAGGCTAAAATGATATCACCTTTAATGCTGATTTTCTCGCTTCTTCCCGTCTAGAGCCCCAGACTTTCTTGCCCAGTTTGGTCATCCTGCTTCTCTTCATATCTGTGGCCTTAGTCGTGGCTGTCGTCTCTGGTGTTTACTACAGGAAAAAAGGGAAAGCACTGACAGGTATGACGTCTGTGGTGGGTTTGGAAAACGAATCTTCAAAATAGATGCATTTCTAGGTATATGCTTTTGGATCACTGACTACATCCAGTGATCTGCTTAAAATAAGCACCCTGAGGTGGTTGTGCTTAAAGGAAGGTGGAACACCCCTTATACCTAATTTGTTGTTCTCTGGCAAAACAACCAAAATCCAGTGTGCCTATTTATGTATGAACAAATAAAAACACCGTAGGGTCAGGAAACTGATGACTCCTAAGCTATCTGTGTATATCATGTAGGTTCTGTGGTGTCAGATACACAGGGGTGGCATTGATCCTAGAATATAAACATTTTTAATGTACCTGGTTAAAACAGAAACAAAACATTCAGGTCAATGGTGGAGTGAAAGTTTTGATTAGGGTATTGTTTGATAGTGTCTTTTTATATCACACCATATTTGACTTTTATACTATAAAGCTAAAAAGTGTAATTTTTAAGAAAGGATTCAAGGCTTCAGTAAGTTTCCTGAAGATATTTCTTAATGCTTAGTCACTTCATTCTCTTTTGAGCCTTGCAGCCTCACCATCCTTTTCCATTTTCAGTTGCTCACTTGTTTATCTTGCCCACCTCTGCTTTGCTGTGATTTGATCAGTTCTCCCACGTTACATCCATGGGCTTCATGAAACCCTGCATATCTTGCTGTTTCCATTAACATTACATTACCTAATGGCACAATGAGCAATCAAAAGATTAATTAAAGAGGGAAGATGGTGATTGAAGATGCCACTGTTAATCGGAGAGCAATGCCAATCCAATTTCTCAAGTCAATTCATTATTGAGTATTTCTATTTAATGCAGCTTCCCTTCCCTAACAGTGTCGTAACTGGGGATTTGAATGGTGCATGCTCGGGTGCTGCGGACCGCTGGTACAGTCATAGTTATGTGAGATAAACAGACTTGTGCTGTTTGTTCTTTAGTTTTTGCCTCTGTGATAATCTCTTACTGCCATCTCATCAATGAGAAGGGCATGGATGTATGACTGTTAGCTTTATTTTCATGCAATAAACACATGTTTATTGGCCACCAGGGACAGGACTGGCACAGAAGTCTCAATTCTAGGCAACACACAAGCAGTGAATGCCCTCATGGAGGAGGTGTCCCCGTGGGCAGGGCAGGCATGGGGCCCACAGAGTGAAGCTGAGTATGGAAAGGGGAGGTGCAGAGAGGCCTCCAGGTGATCAGGCAACACAGGAGTCTGCCCAGCCTTGGGGTCAGCCAGGGCCCCCAGAGGAGGAGACAGGGCCGCTGAGATCTGAAAGACAAACTGGAATTAACTAGCCCGTGGGAGACAAGAGAATTCAAAGCGTTCCATGCAGAGGGAATTTCATGATGGAGGGAGCAGGGCGAGTTGGGGGGTTTAAGGAAGGTCAGTGCAGCGGGAGCAGAAGGTCTGAACCATGTGAGATGACAGTGGAGATGTCGCAGCCCTGCAGACCTCAGAGTGCTCCTTACCCTTACCAAAGGCGAGTGACAACTGCCCTCCGGGTTAGTACAGAAAACAAATGAGTGAGTGTAGAAAACGAAAGAGCTGCAACTTTCCTTTTACTTGGAGTCTCTTTATTTTTATGTAATTTTAAAATTGCAGAAAAGAACCAGGAATAATGAGGGTGATGATAGCAATAAGTGACCTGTATTGAACATTGATGCGATAAGTGCATACACTGCCGTGTGCATATCACATGTACTAACTAAGTCTCCCCAACAGCACTACGAGGTAGGCACTACTCTTTCCCTGGTTTCATGATGCGGAAACTGGGGCTCAGAGAAGTTAAATAAACCGGGCAAGGTCACACCATCGTATCCTTAGCTATTATTATGACCCGATTATCTTCCCATGGAGAACTGATAGCCCGTGAAGCCAAGATTAAAATTCACTGGAGGCGGGATAACGTTTTATCTTTGTATGACATAATGTCATAGATTTTTTTTTTTAATTCGTGGATTTGACTTTTTAGGTTTCAGCACTTCTATTTTTAATACTTGATGGAGATATAATTTGTCTATGCCACAGAACATATTCTTTTTTTCTGAGAAACAACAGGGTATAGTGGAAAAGTATTTGGGCCCCCCTGGAACCCAGGGGTGTCCACCGCAGCCTTCCAGCGTGCACCTGACTTTCATTGTACATCTATGTGAGCGAGTTCACGGGAAAGTCATTCTCCTAGGCCCACGTCATCTTGGTTCCCCTACGATGCCCAGCCCAGTCCTGTAGTCAGAGATCAATTGCTAAGGGACTGAGAACGTGCATCGTCCCAGCGGCAGCTCTGACACCCTCAAATGTGCTCCTAGGTATTCAATGGAACATTAGTGGGTCATATTTTGCTTCGCATGGATCAAAAAGTTCTGTTTTTGATGGGAGGAAAGAGGGTAAGACGTCTTTACAGACTTTAGATGGGTTGATTTTCTTCTGAATGTTTTCACTCTCAGGAACTCTCACTAAAAGACGTGCAGAGGGTTCTGTTTAAAGATGATATTGCACTGACATAGTGGTCAGTGAGACCGAATTAGGAATAGGAAATAGTAACACAAAGACCTCATCCTTGCTTTGTTTTTCTAGCTAATTTGCGGCACTGGGTCAACGAGACATGCAGCCGCCTAAGTGGAAATAAGGTAAATTTAAAAGTCTCAAATGCCTGCTTGAAGTACCTTTAACAGTTAGGCTGAGATAGTTATTAGTCAAACATTGAGCCTTATTGTGTTAAGAGGAACTTCCTTGAAGGGCTGGGGCTCCAGATCCCAGGGCTGATCCCCACAGAGTAGCCCAAGGCCCAGGTCAGTACTCATCCTAAATGCTGCATTCCATTTCTGTCACCTCCGTTCCAGATATTAATTATATTCTTTTTAGTGCCAATCTTGATTGCGTAGTACACAGGTTCCTAGAAGGGATGAGCTTCCATTTTCCTTTACTCTGTAGTTATTTTGGTAGCTATTAATTTTGATATAATTTCAAAATTATAGAGAAGCAGTGAGAGTAGTACAAAGACCTTACACATAGCCTATTCTCAGGCCCCCCCGTTGTTTATACTCTGCCACATTGCTGTACTATTTGCACTCTCTCTTTATGTGTGTATATGTGTATGTGTATATTTTTTCCTTGACCTATTTTAGAGTGAATGGCAGACGTTGTGCTCTAGGACCCTTAAATACATCATAATGAATTTCTTAAGAACAAGGACATTCTCTTACATAACCAGAGTTCATTTATCAAAATCAAGACATTTAATAGTGCTTCAATACCATTATCTAACCCACATTTGATATTAAAATTTCAGTAGTTATCTCACTGTGTCCTTTAGATCGGTTTTCTTAGGTATAAAAATATATAAATGGTAAACCACGAGCTCATACCGATTTCTGCAGTTTCTGTCGCAGCAGCGCCTTCTGATCTTTCCCTGCTCTGTAGCTGAGTCGTGTTGAATCCAACAGTAGGAAACCTGCCTCCAATTCTTTTCTACGTGTTTACTCATTTGCAGAATTCAGAGAAAGTAGTTTCAGAATTACTAAACGCTACCACAGCAAAAAATAAAGCTAATAACTAGAGTTCAGTATTTGTTTAGGGTGGCTGTGTTTTTTTTTAAAAAAAAACTTAGATGGAGATTCTCTATGCAAGGCTGCGTGCTGGGAAGTTCTGGGGGCTGGCCCTTGCCCTTGCTGCAGTGTGAGCATTCATTCCCCTGAAGTGAGTTCGTCCCTCCTTTCTGGTGGCCCTGGCAGGGCTCGTCCCCACTCTAATTTTAAACAACACGCCGTGGCCCCAGCGAGGGCCCCACCCGCTCTCCTCTGGGTGACGTGACCGCGGTAAACGCCGTTTTCGGCAGCATTGGGCTGAACCATGTGCTAATAACTGGGTGTCGATGCCCTGCCTCCTGCCTCTCTCAGCAGGAGCCCGCAGAGGACCCCTTGGGCCGCAGCCCGGCGGGAGCCCCGAGGCCGCGCGGACCCTGCGACGGCGCCTGGCTGCTGACCCTGGAGGAGAGGACGCTGCCCGAGGACACGTCCTGCGCGCCCTGCGCCCCCGAGGGACACGCGGGACGCGCGGGGACGCTCGCCTTGGTCAGCGAGGCGGAGGGGGACCCCTTCCAGCAGGTTCCCACGGAAGACGAGTACGTGGACAGGCCGCCCCAGGGCGCAGGCGCCCTCCCGGGCCTCGCGGGGCCTGGGAGCCGGTGCGCGCCCCCCTTCCCCGAGCCCCTGGAGGTGGGGGAGGACGACAGCCTGAGCCAGGGCTTCACCGGGACCGAGAGCCTGGCGGACTGCGAGAGCTGCCCCCTGGCCGAGCCCCCGCGCAGGACCGACTGGATCCCCGTGTCCTCCGAAAAGTACTTGCAGAAGGAGGCGGGGGGCGGCCG